ATGAAGGAGTGTGGGGTGGATCTGACTGAGAAGCCAAGCACATTATTGGCAGACAGCCTGTCACTCAAAGCAGACACACCCTTAATCATATGTAACTTGAAGCCTCCCCCTCTACAATAGTCATGAATTTTGAAAGAAGTTAGAGACACCAAAACTGTCTTTTTTTTTTTGTACCAGGCTGTAAACATGCTTATTTCTGCTGTAAAGCTGGGCATTTTAACATGGGGGTTCTGTGGGGATTGACTGGCTTCTGGAGCCAGCCTCAAGTGGCCATTAAAGGAACTGCAGCTTTTGGCAGTTTCGTTTTGGCTTCATTTTTCAGTCCTGAAGGTTGCCGCTTGGGTGGGACTATCAAATACGTAAATCATAAAAAGAGATCATTTCTTAATCTAGCTGTGTGAAATTTTGCTCAAAAATGCACAAATGTGAATTCAGTATTCAGATACACGTGCAAAATGTTCCTCCACAACCTTATTTACTTTGCGAATCTTATAAAACACATTATAAATGCCCTATTTTCTCTCAATAGTTTTCTACACTACAACCTTAAAGCTGCTGTCCAAATCAGAGGGTGAGGTGCTACAATGATCTAATAACCTAATTTACTCAAAAGCCATTTTTAAAACAGTTCAAATGCAGATGTTGAGTTGATGTAATTTGTCCTTGTTAATGGAATCTCTTGTATAATACCACTGAAGTCATGCGGCTCCTCTACTGTATATGAAATGCATGGCTATCCTATTAATGCTAGCAATTAGTATCATGTCAAACTTTCATGCATCTACAATAGAGGTTTTATTTCAGCATGAGTGTGAAAACAACGTAGATGCCCCTAAACTGTAGACCCTGAAGTTCAGTTAAATGTAGTCAGACTTTAAGCACTGTGTAAGTCTGTGTAAACGTAGGCTGGTGTCAAAATGAAACCGCTGCTTATAAAAGGTTGACTGAAACTGTCATTGATTGGTTGAAGGTAACAAGATGTGTTGGTTTTACTTAAAGTCAGTTTCCATGACAATCCCCAAAATGTACCCTCAGGTTCAACTCCGAACACTCAGTCCATAAACACACACACACACACACCTGCAGTATTTCTTCCATCTTGCCTCCATCCAGCTCACTCGGTTGCGTAGCGTCGTATTCTCCTATGTGTGCTTACAGTCCCTGACCTGTCTTTGAAAACCCATTTTGATCTGCATAATATTATGTGAATCCAAACTGATTTATACAGATATGATAATGTAATGTATATTGTTATGTAGAGTTATAGTTCATATTATAAGGGCTCAAACTACGCTGGCAGTGGATTTGAGGAAGAAAAAAGTGCTTATATGAGAATTTTATTTGTAAGCAGCCTGTGAGTCGAGACAGAGGAATGAATAAAAGTGCATAACGATTCATGAAATATGTGTGAGTTTGTGTCATTTGTTGATCAGGTTTTGACTCGCCCCCGCAGTCACTCTGTGCTGATTATCAAAGAGGCTCGGACAGTAGTCGCTGATCAAGTTCAGATCAAGTTCAACCCTGTAAAGCATTTTCCTTTTCTGACAATGTTCTGATATAGGTTGCCTTTTTTTACCACCAGATGTCTCTCCACATTAAGTCAGTAATCAAACATTATACAGAGTACAAGAGAAAACAAATGCATTTCACATTTATTGCAATATATAGCAGCTGGGGTGAAAGAAGTACTCCGAACTTTTACCTAAGTAAAAGTCATGATACCACAGAGGAGAAACACTCTGTTAAAGGTAAAAGTCCTGCATCTAAACTTAATAATGTAAGAGTACAAAAGTAATAGCATCAAAATGTACTACTTAAAGTATTAAAATTCAAAGTGACCATTATGCAGAATGGCCCATTTCAAAATAATATTTGTTAGGCCTATAATTCAGTAATATAATTACAGAGGAAATCCATGCTGACACTGGGAGAACATGCAAACAGAAGGGCTCCCCCACCCCAGGGTTCAAACCAGGAACCCTGTTGCTGTGAGGTGACAATACTAACCATAGCACCACCCAGTTTAATCTATAATATGTCATAATTTAACACTTAATTATGTTTTCTATTAATAATCCAAATCTGTTTCAGTACATAAAAAAGACATTAAATTATCTGTACAGGGAACTTGTTAAATGTAAGAAAATTGATACTGATGTCAGTAGATGTTCCTGGCAATTGGATTTTGGGACCACAATAAAAAAGGATGATTGGGAAAATTATTAAATGCAAAAAGATGAGTTGCTCCAGTACATTTCATGAAACACAATTTAAGATGATTCATGAACTGCATGTTACACGGTTTATCAGATCCAAGTACGATCCTGATTGTACCATAATCTGCCCAAAATGTAATACAGGCAAAGCTACATATTTTCATGTCTTCTGAGTAAGCCCAAATATTGTTGAATTTTGGTACAGTGTTAGAATGAAAATTGATGGTATGCTGGGATGTAGGTCAATATTAAACCCAGGCATTTGTATTTTAGGACTAGATGAGGGAGGAAAGCATGAATATGTTGGTACGCAGCAAGGTTGCGTATTCTTCAAAGGTGGATCGGTGATGAATCTCTAGATGTTTTTTACTCTGGTTTGAAAAACTCCTGAATCTAAGTCCACATGAAAGGTTATCATAATAAATAAGAACAAAATGGTCCATTCCTGCTCACCTGGCAGCCAGTCTTCATTAGTATAGTAGACAAACTACAAATTGGGCTTCAGAAGTACATGAATATATCAATATTCAATACTATTCACAATATACACCAATCAGCCAAAACATTAAAACCACTGACAGGCGAAGTAAATAATATGGATCATCTTGTTACAATGCAATGTTCTGCATGGAAACTTGGGGTCCTAGCATTCATGTGGATGCTACTTGACATGCACCACCCACCCAAACACCACTGCAGACCAAGCAAACGCCCCCATGACAACATCACTCCCCAGTGGCAGTAGTCCCCCAGCAGGACAATGTGCCATGCCACACTGCAAAAACTGCTCAGGAATGGAATGACAACATGACAAAGAGCTTAAGGCCTTGACCTGGCTTCCAAAGTCCCCAGATCCAAATCTGATCAAGCATCCTTGGGACATGCTGGTATGTCATCTCGCAACCCACAGGATTCAAAGGATCTGCCCTGAAGACCCTGTTACCAGACACCATGGGGGAATCCCCAGACTTCCTGTGTCCATACCTTGACATGTCAGAGGTATGTCCAATCCATGGAGGCCCCACCGTGGATGGGCAGTACATCTGGGGTATTGGCACGTCCCAAAGATGCTCAGTTGGATTGGGAATTGGGAAATTTGGAGGCCAGGTCAACACCTTGAGCTCTTTGTCACGTTCCCTGGGCCATTCTTGAGCAGTTTTTGTGGTGTGGCATGGTGCATTGTCCTGCTGGGGGGGGTCACTGCCATCTGGGAGTGGGTTTGCTTGGTCTGTGTTTGGGTGAGTAGCATCTACATATATGCCAGCACCCAAGGTTTCCCAACAGAACAATGCATTCTAACAAGATAATAAATGTTAATCATTTCACCTGTCAGTGGTTTTAATGTTTTGGCTGATGTATGTATCCATGTATGTATGCATGTACTTATGTATGTATGTATGTCATCTTTGTCCCATGAGAACCATGCACCTACATTTTACACCCATTTTAGCAGCTTTGTGGTAGTGTATTTTTTCACATGGTTTAGCAGCTTTGTTGTTAGTTGTACAGCTTGGGAAGTGTTAGATGTGTCTCAGCTTATGGGAAAACACTCATTTTCTCACACATTCAGTCATATTAAGGGGTTCAGGACACCCATGTTTTGGAATTTGGTCTTGATTGGACGGCGACAACATGCAAGATTAATCTAGAAGAAGTGTGACTGTTACTAGTATAAGATATGTATTATAATATTGTTTCCTGTGAGGGAAAGTGTGTGTGTCTATGTGTCTACGTAGGCTCGTGTGGACATCTTAATACTTGCTGTATTGTATAAACTCATAAATAAATTTCAGGAAGAATGGTGTACATGTATGTCTTTTTCTGTTTCTGTTAACAGTTGCTGCTTTTTGAATTTTTGAAATGTACACTTACTATGGGACACTAATAATGATAATAATAATATCGAATGAGAATAATCTGAATCTGCAAAGTACCTAAAGTTATTATAGTAGTGGTGTACAAAGTGGCAAGCAGCATAAAGTGGATACACTCAAGTCAAGTACAAGAACCTCAACTTTATACTTAAGAACAGTACTTGAGTAAATACACTAAATTACTTTCTACCCTGTAGCAAGTAATTTAGTAGCAACGTAGATAGATCGAGGGAAACAGTCAGACCCAGACAGTGGTCAGACTACTATAAGGGAGTACTAGTGTGTTATATACTGTGCTTTCAGCAAGAATGCATTTATAAATGAGCCATTTTTATCTATTCTTTCTACATGTAACAGCTCATCCACTTAAATATGGTATATAAGAGCTGTTCACTCTCATAACCAATGGGTGGCATGCTTAGCTTTAAATCTGCACAGCCTGCTGTAGATTTCCTGGACGCTGTACACATGTGGTAAAGGAATCATTTGCCACAGGTAGTGGACTGTGGTTGTGCTGTATATGAATGTACAGTGCAAGTATAGAATATCTTAGGCCTATGTTATGTATGCACAGTGGGCTATGTATATCCCATTGGCCTGTGCCTCTAATGTTTCCACTTGGGTCTGTAGAGGCAGTGGCCAAAACTGACAACATTATATCCAAAAATATAGATATTTTTGACACTTAAATACTCAGAATGAATCACAGTGACTTTCGCAAACACGCCACTGTGTATGTGTTTTTTAACGTGATGGGAGGTTGTGTTCTTTATTCATTTTAAATGTCTTGATTTTTATTAAAACTGAATTTAGTATTCATTTGAGTAGACTGAAGTGGCCTCAGTCGGTTGTGGGTGTCTGGCAGAGCCAACAAAAGGCTGCGTGCTTTCATAGGCTCCACCAACAGCTGTCCAAGTGAGACGACACAGCGGAGCTCCGGATAGAGAGGAGGGGAATGGGTCCGAGTCCGACAGCGGTGAGTTCAGCAGCTGAAACCTACAGCCGCTGCCGCTCCTCTGTGACTATCCAGAGAAGAAGAGGAGGAGTGAATCAAGACTTCAGTGGATTAATTTAACCTCCCTTTGTTGGGGGAAACAGTGCAGAGGAAAACGGGAGGCGAGGATGTCTGTACAAAAGCTCCCAGGTTCTTTTGGAGTCATGTTCCCAGCGTTCTCTCTGCCCATGAAAGCGGAGCGCAGTCGGAATAAGGAGCGGCTGGAGGCCAGCCTGGCCGGCTTGTGTGAGCTGGAGCTGCTCAAACAGAGGCAAGAATGCCGGGTGCTGAGCGCTCTTTGCCTCGGGGACTCTCCGGCTCCCGGCCGTCCGCCTTGGGGAGCCCTGCGGTCTGCACGTTGCGCCCTGGACGCACCAAACGGCAACGCGTCGGATGACTACAAACTCGGACCCCCAACTGTAAGTTGTTTGTCTGGTGATGATTGTTTTGGATTGAGTGCTGTACAGTCGACATCATGATAGTTTGCTGATGTAAAGGACACTTTGTAGTGCAGCTTTTATGTTGACTCAAGTGTTGCGTGGTGTGCGCCGTGGGATCTGTTTGAACATTCTGCATCTAAAGGGCTCCGCAGTGGGGTCCTTAAGTGATTACAGACACACAACTTGATAAGGCTTATCAGAGGAGTTTTTGTTGTCAGACCTGGCCCATAGGTCTGCTGTAGTCAGAGAGGTGTATGCAGTGGGGGGAAGTACTGGCAATCATGGATCATATACATTTACTTTATATGCTGACTTTAAAGGATTAACTGTGTCATGGCTTTGAAATATTTTCCTCTTTTGCGTCTCTTCTTGGAACCCTGGAGGTCTCTGGACCTTCCTGTGGTAACTCATGGATTAGATTACCAAGCACTGAGTATATGTGAATATTAAAAGAAAAGAAAATCCTCTAAGCCTGTCATTGACCTCAGTGTGCAGATATGAAAACGCAATGTCAGGAGGGCCCCTCAAGTCACACGTTACCATTTAAGGGCAAATTTGGGGGGAGCCTTATTACTTTACCCATTCCACACTGAAGACAATGGAATATCCAGACATTTCAATCTCTTGGATAAATTATCACTCGAAATAAAAGCTGAGGTCATTACTTTTCACTGCCTCACTTCTCCAGCTTTGGTCTAGATTGCATCAAACTATCAGGATCTCTTTGAAGCTGATTCCAAAACCAACATCACTGTTTTTTTTATGTTTGGTAGGAAAACTATTTTTATGGCAGCTACATTACCTGCATCTGCTTAATTTCCTCAGCAGATGATGCTTCAGAATATAAAAGGCAGGCCTCAGGAAACAACAGTCTGGATTTTCAGACAAATACGCAGCATTTTATGTCACATCGTTGCCAAAATTGCAAGATAATATCAATAAAATTGACACTAGCAGTCTGTGACAACAAAACAAATTTGAGACATAAAAGCGTGGATGCCCTCTGGCTTGATTTTCAATTACAAAAGTGAAAATGTAGCAAAAGTTTGTATTAATCACTCTGCGGCTCACTCAGGCTTGTGTTTCAAATGGACAGGAGACTTCTGTGACAGTGTCACAGTGCTGGCATTTATTTCACATTTTAATGAGCCATGATATTTCCTCTTGGGATCTGTCCTTGCCATTTTGATCCCAGTTTTCAGCTTTTTCTGAAATGAACTGTGTGAAAGACAAAAAGCTGCCAATATCTCAAGGCCCAGACACACCAAACTGACATTAAAGAGCTAGCATTAACCAAAGCCAATTGTTGCATCGCCTCAAGTTGCACATGAACACACCACAAACACTACAGCCAACAGCCAAACAGCATGTGTGAGAGGAAATAACTCTCCACACGAGCAGGCGGTGGTAGTCTGTAATCGTCTTACAGAAAGGGAAACTGGAAGATCGTCATGATGCTACTTACCAGTTAGCATAATCCAATGCTGAAAGGACAGAGCATATTTACTGTGCACAAGTGAACAATAACACAAACCATCGCAAAATGTCTCTGCTGAAGAGCTCAATGGCTAAAGAAAAACAATCTTGCCTTATATAACAAGTTTGTTTCGGTCTCACTCTGCTTGACTGTAGCTGTTTGTTTACGTTCCTCACTTTCATTTCTCTTCTCATGCACTGAGCTGAACTGCCAGTGATGTCATTTGACTTGCTGCATCAGTGGGGAAAAAAGCCAACAAGGGCAGACAAGAGATGACAAGGGTCAACGGTGCAGGACACATCGCAAAGACAAGGGCAACAGACACTCACTGACGGTCCAACACTGACAGACAGCTGACTGTCAGCTTGGTGTGTGGTGTGGGCCTTGAGAAACCTTCCTGCAGAGTATCAGCTTTGTGCAGTAAAGTGAAACAAATGTGTCCCTGAAAAGTGATGTAGTGGCCAAGCAGATGAACTGACTCCTGCCTGTGACAGTGAGAAATGTAAGACTGTCCACATTAAAAGCAGACTGATTTTGTCTGACTCTTGGAAAGAGATATTTCAAGTATCACAAGTGTAGCATAATTGGATATTTTTAACCATCTCAGTCGCCTTAGAAAATATTGGCATTGTACATTTCAGGATAGTGGATAGTGTATCACCTAGACATCACCTAGGCAAGACGCCTGCCAAGGTGCAGACCACTGTTGGAGACCATCAAACAACAAAACTGGTTGGTTTTCAGCGAGGCAATTTGTGTTTCCAGTGGCTTTTTGGACACCAAAAGTGGGTGGTTTTCATCAACCTATGGCTTGTTTACGACGGGGATAGTGCTATGAAATGCAGGTATTTTAAGCCAATACAATTCAATGTATCTGCTACATAATAACATGCAAATGTAACATAGCCGTGGTCTGCAGAAATGTACAATGCCAACATTTTTTCAGGCGCTCTGGTTGTTTTCACTGAGATTTTGACATGGCCCTGCTCTCTGATTGGCCCGTAGACACCAAAGACTTCCAAAACATAGAAACTATAGAAACAATACAGAGGCCTACTGTAGAGGAAAAACAAGGAGCTGGATCTATTTCAGGACTTTTCATCTGCGCAAAGAAAAAAACATCCCAACCATAAAGTTTATGCCCAGTGGAGTGTAACAGAGTGCAAAGTATTACAATATGAAAGTCCTGTAAGCTAGAGGAGGAGTTTTCATACTGTCATTCAATTACTGCCATATTGTTCCGGGAAAGGGGTGCTTGTGAGTAATTTATCCACTCACATTTATCATCTCCCACCCTTTTATGTCTAGACCATTGTGTAATTCCTGAACCATGACACAAGACATGACATTAAGATCATCTGTGCGGCTGCAGGGTTAAATGGCAGGAATTCCGCATGTGAGGACACCACCAGTCAAACGCAGCATATTTCATGGACATACATTCTGAAAAACAAACATATTTAAGAGGCATCAGCGCAGGATTGACTTCTAATTTGTTTAGAGAGGATAATTTCTAACAATAACACTTAGATCAGACTTTAAATTTAGATTCTTAGCTCTGTGCTTTTTACTAATAGAGCCTTTGATCTCATCCTGCATTCTAGCGCCATATCCACCAAGCAGTATAATACGGTACAGTTCAGTACGCTTTTTTCTGTTTCCACTGCGAAAAGTTGTGGATGGTACCAATGGAACCGTTCTGTACCGTCCCCATTTTTGGTCCCCCCCTCTGTTGGGGTACCTAGCACACAGATCTGGTACTAAAAGGTGGAGCTGTGAACACTGCAGTCTGTTGATTGGTCAGTAAAGGACGGTCACTCTGCTCAGGGCTGAGTTGTGGCTGGTTTTGAGGCTCATGTAACCACTGTTCATACTGTGGAGATGTTTTACATATATTAGTCAACTGTAACCATAAAATGAAAGGATGTTTTGCTGCCTCTTGCAGCAGCTGTAGACTGAGGAGAAGATAATTTAATTCACTGGGCCGACTGCCGGCAACTTTTAAGGTGGAATGTTAACTTGTAATGTTACTCAGTGCATCAGCTGATGACGTTTATTTTCTCACTTGGATGACATACACTTATAGTAATGAGTGGATTAATTTCAACCAGATTATTTAAACTAAACTAAACTATTAATACTCTAATCCTTACTTAAAGAAAAAAAAAAGTGTTGCAGAGCGTCTTTCCTGTGAACTTCGGCAACACTAAACCCCAGAGCTTTTGCCCTTGAAGGACAAAATGCACAGTGCCACCGAGAGAGACTCTCACTCCAGCCTGTTCTATTATGTTGTGAAAATGTCAATGTGCAACCCTGTTCTGTGGACGATAAACAAGGTGCAGACAGGTAAAGGACGACATACAGTGAGTGCTGGACGGAGCAGTGAGTGACAACAACCACACCCACATGAAAGAGTACTGTTTGCAGTAGAAATGTTAAGCGGATTGAGGGTCTAGGTACCATGTCTGAGGGATTATTTTTGGTTTCAAAGGTAACATACTGAAAGAGTTTGGTGAACACGGAGCTTTTGTACAATCAGGCAAGGTCGCTGAGAAGTAAACAGTAAGCCAGATAGAAGAAAAGTTTAACATTTGGAAATTTCACTTGTTTGCTTTTTTTGCCATGATTTAGGGTTGGATTGGTCACTCATTTTATGTTTGGAAATCAAATAAATGTAAGGTTATCACCTGTTGTAGCCCACATGGGTGTATTCATGACATTAATATCTTACCTAATACAGGTTTGATCAAGTAGGTGGTGCTCATCAACTTGTTCAGTTTTATATAAAGCTCTACGGACACCACTGACAAATAGCTATAGAAAATCTATTTTCTTTTACGGTATTTATTTATTTATTTATTTTGATCATCTGTTGAAGATTAGAACTGTTCCAGGCTACAGTAAACATTTTCAGATGGTGAACAGTTGTTGCCAAGCTACTTTATAAACAGAACCGGCAAATTTCACCAATTACAAATAAAATCTTTGTGTATACATCTACTGCATAAATAGTATACAGGCTTACAGACTCACGCAAGTCATTTATAAATCTATATGAGATACTGATTTAAAGAAATAGTTTGACAGTTGTGGAACTAGTGCCAGGAGGTACTTAGTTTAACATAAAGACTGGAAGCAGGGAAAACAGCTGGCCTGGCTTTGTGCAAAGAGAAAAATTCAGCTCCCATCACCTCTAAATCCCACTGATAAACATGCTGTATCTTGTTTGTGTGATCAGCACACAAACAGAAAGTATGTGCTGAAATTATTTTTTGGGGACCAGCAGCTGGGCACAATGACAAGACTAGCATTGTGTTGTCAGCGTGAGGTTGCCAGGCAACCAGCGGAGACTAAAGGAATTCACTGCACCCTGATAAAATCATTCAGACTTTTTAAAAAACATAAAGCTGCCAAAAGTCATCTACTTAAATCATAAACGCTATAAGTAGCCACAGTCAGATAGTCTGGAACAGAGTCCGGTCATCAGGGTGTTATGATCCCT